TGTGTGTGTGTGTGTGTGTGTGTGTGTGTGTGTGTGTGTGTGTGTGTGTGTGTGTGTGTGTGTGTGTGTGTGTGTGTGTGTGTGCACTTCACCTCCATAGGCCACAGTGCCTTGTGGGTCTGCGGTTAGGCTTTGTCTCAGTTTCTTCCTCTTTTCTTCTGTGACGTCCAAACCGAGGAAGGTCAAAGCCTAAAGCAGAGAAAGAAAAGAAGATTGTAATTTCATTTGGCCCTATTCTGTTCTTGCATGGATTGAACAAAGAACGGTTCCTGAGACTTCATGGCTGCCAGGAAGCCACAAAGAGGAGACCTGGGGCCTCATTTATAAACGTTGCATACGCTCAGAAGATGGCGTACGCCAGTTTCTAAGCAATCTTTGCGATTTATAAAAAACGTTAGAGAAGAGAAACTGCGACACCGTTGGCAGAAGGAAGAGTGGAGAGAAATATGAGGCAATAATACCATAAATAAAATGTTACCTCTCATTTATCATATATGAAGAATTAATGTTCACAAAATGATTAAAGCCAATCTTAAAATGATTTAACAAACGCCTGTTTGAGACTCCTCAGTGCACACAAACACATAACTTGGAGAAATAAATAAATACGGAAATGTTATTTATCACCCCTCGATTATGTTCTCTTGTTAAGAAATGTATTCTCATAAATGATGAAGGAGGAAACAGAAGGACAGAATTACTTTAAACTGACTCAGTTTTGCTTTTCTCTAGTTAGATACGAGCACTATCATGTTTAATCATGTTTTATGCCGTTCGCCAATAGCCTACTTGATAAGTTGCTCGTAAAACACAGGAGGTATGGAAACTAAGAACACCATATGTGGTCAATTGTACAGCTAATATAACACAACACAACACATTAGTTTTATTTCCTATAACTGGTGGATATAGAGTTGCTGAGGGGGGGCGGGGGGGGTTGAGATGCACAGGCTGCAGTGGAGACTGATCGACAGCTGGGACAAAAACCACCAAATACAAAAACATAATTCAGATCCAGTCGTCATGAATCCACTCCGGAGGGATTCCCCATGACATGAATTATAGTAAACATTCATCAATTTATACACTTTTAATATAATCTAAATGAGGGTAAGGTGCTCAAAAAAATGAAAATCTTTCTCCTAACATCTACAATTTGAAACCCAAGTGAAATGATCTAAACTCAAGGGAAGTTGCTAAATGTTGGGGGCCTAAAGAGCCCCAGCATAAGTAACGAGACATTTTCTAAAGAGGACCTGTGAAACATATCATCAGGTCAAAATGTTTTTAAGCAGCCTCTGTGTTTTCGAGGAGGTCTGTGGTCTCCAGGATATTCAAATCTAAATTTGAGAATGAATTAAACCAGGGTGATGCTAATAATTCATATCACTCTTATTTCATTGCATTGAGCCAACACATGAAGAGAGGACTTTTTCTGTATTCAACTTGAGCATTTAACCTATCCGTCTCTCTAATCCCATTAATGAATTGGTAGATTAGGATCAACCTTTGGTTGAGCTAAATTAAAAGCAAAGCTGAATAATGGTAACCGAATTGCACAGAGGGCAGCAATAGAGTCAGAGAACGAGCAGAGGAGAACCATCAGCAGAGACAGGAAGGAGGGGGCAGGGGGAGGGGGGATGAATGTGCTGAAAGGGTAAGAAGAATGTACACATGAAGAGCGCAAGCATGATAAGCCAGCGAAGAGAGACTGAGAGAGAGATCAATGATGAGAGGGCCTGGGGGGCGATCAGAAGGAGAAGAATCCTCTGCTCAGGGTTTCTCTAAAAACCTAAATGGAGAGCCGAAACGTGCATGATGTAAAGTGTGCTTGATAAGAATAAATAAGAGGATCATATGTCCCTCAAAGGTCCCACATCTCCCCCCCCCCCACTGAACCCAGTCTGTGGGACAGGGCTCTCCCCACAAACCTGACCCTCAGAGAGATGGTAGTTATTCATAAAGCCTGTCACAGGGTCATTTTGCTGGGAAAACCATAAGAAACTATCTTTGAGAAGAGCCTATGTTTAGATGATCACAGGCAAAGGTTGGCAGCGTTGGGGGTAATCAGATTACATTTGTCTGTAATGCAGTAATGTAACTGTTGATAATGGCAGTAATTGCATTACAGTTACTAAGCGCGAAATGATCTTGTGACTTGCGTTACTTTAAGGTCTTCGTCTCTGCATAACGGGAGGACAGAACATTTAATCAAACGTCCCTTTCCGCTGCGCTGCATTCAGAGTTCAGGGATGAGGAGACGGAGCAAGAATGTTAGTCTCATAGCAGAGATCAACAGTTGTTTGTGTACATCATGGAGGACATGTTGTCCGTTCCCACGGTGGAATCGCCATCTTTCCCAAACATGTTGAGCAAGATAACAGGGGGCGGCCGCCATCAGACAGGAAGACATTTACAAGCTACCTGGACCAGAGCTCTGATGGAAACTGAGCTAAAGGAAACATGATGTTCAGACAGAGAGCAGAATAGGTCTGTGTGCAGGACTGTCCTGATCAGATTAAAGGTTTGTGCTGATCTCCTTGAAGAAAGTTCCCTGTAAATTGCTTTAAATCCTGGTCAGGCTGTCATGAAATGTGGCTGTTGATATTCATGGTCCCCACAGGATGAATCCTTGTGGCGAAACCTTTCTTATTTAGCTAGTATCAGGACAAACTCTATTGAATTACAGTTTAACTATGAGGTTTTATTCGCTGAGCATGTTGCTGGTCTGTGGATTTGGTGGAAGTTGCTGCTGCGGTGATAGAAGAACCAGATCAAAATATTCTATTGCTTTAGCTATCTTTCTGTTATAGGTATTACATTCCATGCCTTTGTATGTGTGCGTCTAAATGTCCTTTCTAATATCATACATGTTCTGCTGTAGCCACTCAACAGTTGTATATCTCTCTTCAGTAGAACACTGGAGTGACAGGTTGTCTCCAGATTAAGCATATGGAATATTCATGACACACACATCAGGATCACCCAGTTTAGTAGTGCTACAGCACTTACAATGGATTGGTTTGTTTGAAGCAAATAAATCTGCATTTCTCTTGTTGTTCAGAGTTTTAACTATAGTTTATGCACTTATGTGATGCACTTGTAAATCGAGGTTAGGAGAATCAGAGAGAGAGACGGGAGAAAGGTGGCAGAGCTTAACAAGGCAAATGCACCGAAAGCCTTGTACGCACTGAAATAAACCACTTCAACATGCCCGGCATCACACAACATCAGAGGTGGGAGAAGTACTCATATCTAGTATTGGGTAGAAGTAGAAGTAGAAGTACCACAGTATAGGATTACTCTGTTACAGTAAAAGTCCTACATTCAAAAGGTTACTCAAGTAAAAATAGAAAAGTATTAGCATCAAAAAGGTGCAGCTAGTTTGAATGACTTTGTATACTGCAGGGTAGCTTGTGAATTTACTCCAGGTGGAACTAAAGTCTGATTTAACACTTGATTAGATTTCACATCATTCATCCACATCTGTGAAGTAACTAAAGGTATTAAATACATGTAGTGGAGTAAAAGTACACCATGCACCTCAGAACTGTAGTGGAGTAGAAGTACAGAGTAGCCACAAATACAAATACTCAAGTAAAATACTAGTATCTCAAAATGAGTAGAGTACACCACTGCACAACAGGTCAAGTATTTGGCCTCATGGCTGTATAAAACCGTGTGACTCACCAAGTCTAACTTGTCTGATTTGAGGCGTATGTAGGGGTCCAGTGTTATCTTAGGTTTGGCCCCCGTTGGCGAACTCTGACTTGTGGAACCTAGAGAAAGGAGAAAAGAAAAAGAGAAAGACGAGGGGAAAGAAGAGGAAAAGTAGATAAGAGATGTGGTTGATTTGGTCACAGACAAAGGGGAAAGCAGTGAGCAGGAGTTCTGGTAAATACATTCAGATATCAGGCCGGAGCCCCCTACTGGCCTTCAGCGGGACTCTGAGAGTAAGTGAGGCCACAGGACACTGAGTAAACAACAGGAGCAGAAATATCACTGCATAATCTGTATTTTGCAGTTGTGGTGATAGGGGAGGTGTGTGTGAGTCTGTGTTTGGGTGGGGGGATGAGATCTGATGATTAAAAAGAGAAGGAAAGGTGGATGATTATATAGATGAGGGGAACACAGAGAGCGGGGGGGGGGCAGCATCAGCCAGTGCCTAATATTAATTTGATAAGTGTATTTGTCCCAGATTGGTGAGTCTGCTATCACAACCTTCCCTCTGGTCCACACCCCCCTGTTGCTAGGGATATGAACTAATTTCACTGATACCCTCCTCCAAGTCCCACCCACAGGATTTGCACCACGCCCTACCCCTGACTGGCAGGGATGATTGCTTGGTCTGCTGCCCGGACAACAGCTGTGCTTCAAACCTAAACAGCACACATCATATCATTTGTTGTCATTCTAGTGCAAAACAAATACAATATAACATAATACAATATAAAAGAATACATACAAAATAGCCACATTTCAATTTCTTAAGAAGGATTGTTATGGCGAGGAGATCGAAACAATTGGGAGAAAGATTATAATTTTTTGAGAAAGTTTAAAATGTCGAAAAGGGAATCAAAATGTTTAGTTAAAAGTGAATCCCTACGTTGTAGTGCCAAACACAAGAAGATTGAAAGTCAGGGGAGGATTTTCTTGTGCCTTTTGAGAATGAGGTTGAGACATTAAGAAATGCATTTCGACAAATTAGTTGTTGAAATGATGACAACCAAGATGAAATGTGTAGAATACACATTTCAACCAGTCTTAGCAGAAATACGGAATTTTCAACTTTATTCTTGAGATGTTGGACATGTCCCGCTCCACTCCGTCTCTGCAGTTGTTGTTTGAATAAGTTCAACTTATGTTGCTGTGTCTGTACACTGCTGACCTTGAAGACCGCGGAATTCTTGATTTATAAAAAACAGACAGGACCTCTGCAATCGCTATACGTTCATTCGGAGCCCAGGTGATACATGTAGCTTTAGACTGGACTCTTATGGACACAGCTATGTTTATCTTCAAACAGGATGAGGCTATGCTTTAGAGAGGAATGTGTGAGGGGTGAGAGGAAGAGGAAGGTCAGTCTGTCCCAGAGATCAGCTGACTCAAACAGATGAGTGTGCATTTGTTTACTGTAAATCTGCGTGTGCAGCAGGAAGAACTGATAACAGCAACTTTACTTTAAATGGCATTAAGGTTTCATCCTCGCTTCCCATAATTGAGAGTGAGAATGAAACCAAAATAGTTGATTTAGTGTCAGGAGTCACTCTTATAAAAAAAGAATAGCCTGTCATTTTTTGTATGTGCTCACCTCACCACGAACTACGGACATCTGTCATGGCTAGCAACAGGCTTAACCAATAAGAGGCTGCGGGGAGCGAGGTGGTCACAGCACTAGGGAATAACCTTGACGGACCTAATCCGGCCCAATAGGATTGGCTGTGAGCTGGAGGCGACCCTCAACATCAGACCTGCTGCTCCCAACGGTTCAGTTTCACCTTCCAGCACTTCCTCTTGGATTAAACACAACTGTTTTATATTGCTGTCTGTCTTCAGGTGTTTCAGCCAATAACACACTAGTAACACGTGTTATTAAAATGTCATTTCATCAAACAGTACATGTTTTGTGAATGAGCACATTGGTTCTCTACCAAGTTAATAATAGTTCTGAATTTTCAAATACTTTCAATAAGGAATGACGCTATATCCAAAAAATAGATTGTCCGTATGCTCAGTATTTCACATCTCTGCATGACAGTGTGAGGTGGAAGAAGTATTCAGATGCTTTATACGGGTAAAAGTACCAATACATTATTGTAAAAATACTTCATTACAAGTTAAAGTCCTGCATTCAAAATGTACTTAAGTAAAAGGACAAAATAATTATCAGCAAAATGTACTAAATGTATAAAAGGTAAAAATTGCCTTTATGTGTGTCTAAAACGTTATAAATGTGACATTTCTAGATAATATGCATCAAGTAGCATTTAAAAGTTCTGATTTACTTTTTGTAAAATATTTAAATAACGTGGCTCTTTTGTAACTTAAAGAGATAGTTCACTAGTTTAATTTAGAGATGGATTTTTGTTAAAAGAAACTCAAGCTGTTTAATAGATATAGTGGAGTAAAATTACATTATCTCCCTTTTAATTGTAGTGGAGTAGAAGTATAGAGTAGCATTACATGGAAATACTCAAGTAAAGTACAAGCAGCTCAAAAGTTAGTACAGTACTTAGTACTTCCCACCCCTGTTGACAGGACTGTTGAGAAATGTCAATAAACAGCTTTTAACTGTTGCTGTGCCTAAAAATGTTATTATAATATGATGTATTATGAGCGTTTACTGTCTTGGTCTTATTAATGTCATTAAGCCTTGCAGAATCGGAGGATGAAACCCTCTTTAATGGTCACACATGCAGAGCACACAGCACCATTTCATTTCAAACCTTTATTTATCCAGGTGCATACCATTAAGATCATTGATCTCTTTTTCAAGGGACCTGACATGTGTTCTCTGCTTTTAACCCATCCTAGTACTAGGAGCAGTGGGCAGCTATTGTACAGCGCCCGGGGAGCTATGGGAGTGGGGGGGTAGTCCGGTGCCTTGCTCAAGGGCACCACGGCAGGGCAGGAGGTGAACTGGGACCTCTCCAAGTAGCAGTCCACACTACATATTTAGGTCTGTTCGGGGACTTGAACCGGCGACCCTATGGCTCACAGTCCAAGACTCTACTGACTGAGCCACTGTGTTTAAACAGCAGCTGCTTTAAAGGATAAGAGGGACGGTGAAACCGTAATGAACCACACCCGTTACCATGGAGCGGGAACTTTTTCCGATCCTCACATTCCTGTGTTCTCGGAGGTCCCCTGCTGCGCTCTGCTTTCTATTAAAGGTCCCATGTCATGGCCATTTCTACTGATCATAATTCCATTGTTGAGGTCTACTAGAATAGATTTACATTGTTAAATTTTCCAAACTCACATTGGTTTCTCATACAGCATCTCTGTATAGTATGTGTATTCACTCTCTGTCCTAAACGGCTTGTTGGAGCTCCTGCGCTCCTGCCCCCCCATAGAGAACCGCAGTGACGCGTCGTAAAACCCGGAAGTAAGTTAGCATTTTTAGCACTTCCGGTTCCTTCCTCAAAAAGCAATGCATTTTTTCCATAGGGTTTTGGAAAATAGCTCGAGATAAGGTCTGTGGTTGACACAAATTTAAGAGGTAATTGACGTTTTGTTCTACGACATTAAATACATCAGCAGTGACCCCACTGGGGATTTTTGAAGAGTTTACGTGTCTGAAAAACGATGGTTGTTACCGGATGGCTGAATAGGACTACAGAAATTGTCGAGGCCGTTGTACGTCATTACGCCGAACAGGTAAACACTCCCGCTAAGTTTGTTTTCCCCTGTGTCCTGCTTGAAAGCAAGTACCTGCCTATCTTTAGTATCTGTGTATATCTATATCTGACCATTAGAATCTGTATTTTTGAAATTGTCGTTTTTAACACCGTAGTTTTACAAATTATAGAATAATTAATTACCAGTGTTTTCCAATTTTACTCGGCAGTTCGTTTCGTTGGCTAACGTTAGCTAAAGCTAGCGCTACTAGTTAGCTACGCAATGGTTTGTTGCTTTGCTCCGGGTTGCAGCCACAGGTCTTCGCATGAAACGTGCTTGTTCTATCGTTTCCCGGCCAATGTTTTCCAAAGGAGAGTCTGGATTCGTGCCATGAGGTAAGCTGACGTTACATTTTTGTCCATGTCACGGTGAAATGTAAATAATAGGTAGTGACTGTATCGCCGTTTAGAGATGGCGCTGCTGAAAAGACCGCAACATAAGTAAAGATAATGAATACATCCTATTAAAACCTGTGTGGCTTATATGATAAGTCTAATTAGTACAAGCAGCATAACGTTTCACCATTTAACTAAAGATTGTAGTCAGGGAAATCAGTTTGACATATTGAACTAATAACAAATCACCTCTGGCTGGCAGAGAACTCTCTGCTCCATAGCTTCTCTTGGACGTAAAATCACATGTACATTTTACATTTATATTCAANCCCAGTCCAAGCCCCTACTGACTGAGCCACTGCCGGACATGTGTTAGGAGCAGTGAGCAGCCATTAGGTCGGCGCTCGGGGAGCAGTGTAGGGACAGCACCTTGCTCAGGGGCACCTCGGTAGTCACTTGGTCGTTCCGAGACTCGAACCGGTAACCTTCCGGTTCCCAGGCCGAGAAGAACTAGAACCAGGAGTCTAGCACCAGGAGTCTAGTACCAGGAGTCTAGCACCAGGAGTCTAGCCCAAGGAGTCTAGTACCAGGAGTCTAGCACCAGGAGTCTAGCCCAAGGAGTCTAGTACCAGGAGTCTAGCACCAGGAGTCTAGTACCAGGAGTCTAGCACCAGGAGTCTAGCACCAGGAGTCTAGCACCAGGAGTCTAGCGCCAGGAGTCTAGCACCAGGAGTCTAGCACCAGGTGTCTAGCACCAGGAGTCTAGCACCAGGAGTCTAGCACCAGGAGTCTAGAACTAGGAGTGTAGAACCAGGAGTCTAGGGGGTTGTCCGGTGCCTTGCTCAAGGGCACCACGGCAGGGCAGGAGGTGAACTGGGACCTCTCCAAGTAGCATTCCACACTCCATATTTAGGTCTGTTCGGGGAATTGAACCGGCGACCCTACGGCTCCCAGTCCAAGCCCCTACTGACTGAGCCACTCCCGGACATTAAGGCTTCATGTTTTCTTTGTTTTTTTACCAACAAAAGGAGGAAAAATACATTTAAAAGCTTTGTGTTTCCTTAGCTTGGAATACCAAAAAGGAGGTTGCTTCTTCTGCTCCTATATATCACTGAGAGAAGGGAGAAAGAAAGCAGTAAAGAAGACACAAAACATTAAAACATCATATTTTCTTCGTTTTTTAACACCTAAAGGAGGCTTTGGTTTGATTCTCACAGAGCAGTCTTGTTTGTTTCCTCATGAATGTGAAGGATCAGTGTGTGAGAGGATCAACAGATGATTTGGGGGCCAATAGGGGGCACTGGGGGCCTAATCCACACGTCTGGGAGCAAATAGCAGCAATACACATGCCTTTCCCTTTTATTCTCTATTAGCATCCCCATTAGCACTAGCACACACAGTCAAACATGCATACAACTAAACAAAAACCGCTCATAATTCATGCCATTTCAATCAGTGACACACAGCCACAGTTCAATCTTTACAATATGTTTTTTTAAGCAGACTTTTGCAATGTATTTGGGATTTTTCCTGAATAATATGGACCGGCAATGAATCCCAGCTCTGAATATAGGACTGTTTCATATTTGATTTAGTTTTCTGGAACCTTCCTTCTGTTACATGTCGTGTTTGATAGCATACTGCACTTCCCTTCCATATCTTTAACCGGTAGAGATGCGAACTTGGTGACTCTTGGTGTCATTTTGCCGAGATTAATCTGGGGCGAGGGCGGTTTCGTGCAATCAATCCCGTCTGAACCGCCATCAACGAGTCGCTGGTGTCTAATCAGAGCCTGATTGGCACCCTGGGGAGAAACGGCCTGTAAATCAATCAGAAGTGAAGTGTTGTTTTCAAGGGCTTGCTTCATACGTTGTGAAAAAAATCTTAACAACTTTTCGCAAAAAAGCTCATTATAACTGCTTCCTTTTCCGTCGTGCTGAATTATGATAAAGCACATTGTTGTCACCAATTATCCCGCACATAGAGACTGACCTTCTCTATACCTCGGTTACCAATGGAAACAGTGCAAGGCTAACATTTACCCTCACTCCTTTGTGTGATGTATTGCAGTAAGGGAAGATGAACAAAGCACAGTAGCTCTGTGTGTGTGTGTGTGTGTGTGTGTGAAATAGACTGAACTTTCCCAACTAATGTACCTTGCAGGAGTCTGGCTGCTGGTGACAAAGATAAATTAGCCAAAGAAAGAGCGGGGAGACGCTTCAACAGCAACCGACCCTCCGACACCAATTAGCAGATTGATTACGCGCCTGAGAGAAGCGGACGCTTGTCAATCAGCGCCGAACAAGGGGAGCGACAGGAAGGAGCTGCGTGGATGTACCTGGAATGTTAAAGGATCCATACAGAGGCACTGATCCATGGGGCGGTGTAGCGCTCAACACCGACACACTGAAACAGCAAAGGTGCAAATACCACTATGAAAAAGGACCCAAAATACCTTCTCAGGAGGCAGACACCTGTATGACTGCAGGAACACATGCAGGGCCTTTTTTAGTGTCGTGCACCCACTTCCTGTCAGAGATAAACACATCCTTCACTCAAGTAGAAGTACAGAGACTCATGTTTAAAAATACTCTAAAAGTAGAAGTAGGCTACTGACTAAACTTCTTTACTCAAGTAAAAGTAAAGAGGCTTTGAAATGTACTTCAGTAAAAAGTACCCATAACTAGCAGCTGTTTTAAAGAGTACCTGACCTCCCTTTATATTAATAGAACAATAATGTCATTGTTAGCTAATGAATGTTTCCATGCTGAACAACGGCAACATGACAACGTTTCCATTGGTCCCTCTTCTTTAGAGAAGACCAGGAAATGATGGATACACGGATCGTGTTCAAATCAATAGGCACGCAATGACTCTAAATAATAATGATCACGCNTATTAATATCTTAGACTGCACTGTAACTTTTATCCATGTATTTTTTCTTTTAATGTTTATTTTATTAGCTTTTCTTTTTAATGACTGATTTTAAATGCCTTTTTTTTAATGTCTTTCATTTTTTGTAAAGCAATTTGAATTGCCTTGTGTTGAAAAGTGCTATATAAATAAACTTGCCTTGCCTAATAAAGATTTCATGTGACACATACAATTGATTTGTTGATGGGAATTAATGTGAATAAATTAACTCGGTCTTAAAAGGTTAACGGTACTCTTGCTATCACGACTCACCGACACTATAAACCTTGTCCCTCATGCTAGCCCTGACAACACCGGTAAGCACACCTTCATCTAGGCTGCACTGTTACGTTTCCTGACTTGTAGTGGTTCTCTCCTCTATCTACACTCTTCTTGTCATCTTTGTAAAACGATATCAGACTGGTAATTGACACAGCCATGACTTCTAGTAAAATTCAGTGTGGCTAAAATGAAAAGCTTTGTTAAAATATGGAAGCACAAGAAAGTCAAATTCAGCTTTATTGTCAAAAATTCTATATGTGTTATACATCCAGAAATATCGAAATATCGTTTCCCACAGTGTGACATGTACACATAAAACAAAAAGGGCCTAGATAAACGTGGTATACATTAAACAAAACGGGCCTAGATAACCGGGGTATACAGTTTAAAATGTTAATATATTTAAAGTGTTCAAAGTGCAGTTTCAGTTAGTCAGTTGAAACGATCTTAAGTTGGCGTGACGTTGAAGTCGTGCGACCCTGCTGCTGTACTGGCTTGTAGTTCGTTTATAGCATAACGTTAGCATTTCACTTTTGGCGACTAGATTTATGATTAAAAAAATTATAAAAGTAGGGTTGACATGTGGAGATTATCCGACTGAACAAAACGTGATCCCTCTCTTAAATGTGTGTCAACCACAGACCTTACTTCGAGCTATTTTCCAAAATCCTATGGAGAATTTGCATTGGTTTTTCGCGAAGGAACCGGAAGAAGTTTACTTGCGGGTTTTACGACGCGTCACTGCGGTTCTCTATTCACTTTGAATGGGGTGACGTCACTATTCGCCGAACTGCATTGTGGGAGCAAAGCGTAGCTTCTCTCGCGGTGCTCGCTGCATTTTGCCGTCTCGACGGAGGCGTCAGCCAATCGAATCATATGCCAGTACAAGCTCTAGCCAATCAAACCGCGTGCTTGTGTGTCTGGGGCGTGAGACTCATGTGATTGGTTGTTGGTCGAGTTTCAGCCCCCCCCGCCGGCAAGCGACAACGCACGCCACCGTGTGTAGGGGCAGTTACGGCCGTGTTACGGCTGCGCTGCGGCGTTCACAGCGATCGCGGGCACTCTAGTCAATGGTTGCTATTCCACCAGACGCGCTGCATTACGGCCAGAAGCGTCCCAGAAGCGTCTCAGAGCTGGGCTCCGCTCAAAATAGGATGCAAGTCTATTTTCGACGCGACGCGAGGCGTTGCATAACGCCGGGCAGGAAGTGGACCGGTCAGAGCATCCTGCCCATCCCCCAAATAAACTAATTTTGCAGACCCTATCCCTCCGTAGTCTTTCAAGTAGGAGGAGAAATGCCAGTTTACAGGCACTGTGTAAATTATATATATCGAATAATTATGATGATGAATTTTTTTTACCACTAAAATACAGCAACACATCTTTGATTCATGTCGTTTATAACTGGAATATTAAATTATTATTAACTTTGTCTGATCTAATATGAGGGACATTGAGGACAAATCACTGAAAACATTTACTCTGATTTAGCAGGTGTTTAAAGTCCTTTAAATGTGTTTTATGCTGCTTTGTTAACTATATTACACAAGTCAACAGGAAGATAGTGAGAGTGACAATGGAGAGGGTGAAGGGGATGAGGTGCAGTGAGCAGGACAATGCAGTAACACATACAGGAAGTTATATTAACTGTGTCATTGTGCATTTTCTAAGAGTAGAAGGCTGGCAAATTATATATTTCTCTTATTGGCATCAAACCCTATAAAAAAGATCTAAACCAACACCGTGTCAGTCTGTCTATTAATACTTCCCGAGCCCATTTATGAATGGGAGTACATCTGGAAAGGGAACATTGAGTGTTAACAGCGAGGTGTTTACCTGAAATATGAATATCTGGAGGGCAGATGTCCGGGGACGCAGAGGACACCGGGGCCGGCTCCTCTGCACACATCTGCTCAAGACGGATGCAAAATGAATGACAAACAAAAGATGATAGAAAGATTTCCAAAAGTAAGGCAGAATTTCCCTTCAACTCAAGTTAAAATGACCAGCTGGAAATGATAAGGTCATACATCTGATCCTGTGGAGTGTGCTCATAATAATTCTCAGAACTTAACAAACCTCTTATTAATAGCTTAAACTTGCATTTACATGTGGTTATGAACTTCAAGTTCCACACAGAAACCTGTCTTAGTTGCAAAATATTATTGATATGTTCTTTAAATTGTGAATTATTCATTAGAGCAAACTGTAGGATGTCGCGTTTACATGGCACAGCACGGATGTCATGCATTTTGGATGTCCTATGGCAATAGTGAATAGATAGATTCAATATAATTCTTCTGATATATGTATGTCGAGATCCTAAGCAACCTCAGCCAATAGCAGTAGGTGTTGTTGAAACACTGCAAAACAGTGATTGGTCAGAGAGAATCATTGCTATCACGGACTGGACATCCTAATTTGAAATGTTTAGAAAGACTACCTTTGTTTTGTAATCACTGGTGTGTACTGTACACCACACCGTACATTACACAAAACACTACTGTACACTGTTCCTATCATTTGACAATTGACAACGTGCAGCTTCACTGGGAAATACTGCTCCTGCTACTTCATATTTGCATCCATTGTTATAGTATTCTGGAAACAGCATTTCTTAGTCCTAGACATATTCTGGTATGTTTCTGATGACTGAAGCTAAGCATGGCTGACCTCAGGAGATATGATGTGGACTTTTAAGCGTCCAGAGTTGTAGCTGTTGCCCGCAGCCCGCTGCACCCCGTTGTGGAGAGACGCGCTGCTCTGAAAAAGTCCTTTCCCTGGGATGAAGGCGATCTCCACAGCACTGTCTGGGCTGGAGACACAATTCAAACAAGACATTAGCAGGAACACAGAGGAAAGAGAGATGAGCGCCTGTGTATTGCTGACTAATCCCCACTGTGATCCCCGTCTCAACAGAGACTCACAGATGTTACTCACTTTTAGACCAAATTCCAAACCGGCCCCTACCCACTCCCCCTCCGTGAAGGAATAAATTCCGTCTGTAGTCACTCTCACAGCTAAACAAGGCTTCATTCCTACAGGTGGGGGTGTAAATACAGCGGCTCCCCCCTCTCCATCAGACACAGGAAATGCCATTTCCTTTTTGTTAAAATCCTTTAGTTTAAACAATCGGATGTTTCCAAGCTGCTTGGTTTTTGCAAAAGTCTGTAAATGTTTGCACAGAACTGTTAATAATAATAATAATAATAATAATAATAATAAATGTTATTTGTAAAGCACCTTTCATTGCTAAAAGCAATCCCAAAGTGCTACAGGAGGCATAATAGAAAGAAAAAAAAGAAACACAAGTTTAATCAAAGGCTTTTTTTAAAAGAGAGGATTTTAGGCCTTTCTTAAAGGAGTCAGTTGTCTGTGGAGTCCTCATGTGATCTGTGGAGTTCTCAGGTGGTCTGTGGGGTCCTCAGGTGGGCTGTGGAGTCCTCAGGTGGTCTGTGGAGTTCTCAGGTGGTCTGTGGAATCCTCAAGTGGGCTGTGGAGTCCTCAGGTGGTCTGTGGAGTCCTCAGGTGGGCTGTGGAGTTCTCAGGTGGTCTGTGGAGTCCTCAAGTGGTCTGTGGAGTCCTCAGGTGAGGATTAGCTGCACAGAAAGCCCGATCCCCCATGTTGTACACAGTGTGTTTCATTAGGGACACAAACACCGTTAGGTCGGTCAGGTAGGACTTGGTAACCCTCCAATCAAACGTGCAAACTGAATGGAAGTGTGTAGGGGGCGGTTTGTAATTGGGCCAGAGTTACTGAATGAACATTAAATGTACAAGGCCCACCCACCTGGATTTGACTTTGTTCAGCATGCTCTTCGCCTCCTCGTGGTTCACACCTATCAAGGACTCCTTGTTCACAGCAATGAGCTGATCTCCAGGCCGCAGACGTCCATCCTGCAACACACACAGAGCCTTCAGACTGAAGAACCTTCCCTCTCCACTTGATGTGTTGAAGAGGATTGCTTATTCTCCTCTAAGTATTCTCACTGGGCTTGATGCGTATGAGACAATTAATCTTGTAACTCTGGTTTGAAACATGGCATGTTAAGACCATTTTGCATGGCAGACAACTTGCCTCATGTCCGCCTAAAACCCTTTGAAAATGCATGACACAGTTTGAGCCTATTAAATGTATAATCTTGGAGCTAATGCAAAAATTGAACTCTTCTCTAATCTGAGGATGTTCCATACAAGCCCAGAAAACTACAGTTATTAAACCACTCTTAACTTGAAGAGACACATGACTATGAGCATTAACAGACCCATATCAAACCTCAATAAAAAACATTATTTTATTTATATTTCCCCTCTTAACCCTTGACCCTGTTAATGTGTAAAATGTCATCCTCTGAAACAGTCTTGGAATGATTGGATGTCTTAGTTGCATTCGACCAAATAAGCTCTGACACAATGATAAATGCAGTATATGTGGTGTTCCTCTTTGGGTCAACATCTACACGACCCACAAGCGCATATTATAAAAAGACCCCAAAAGTCTTACCATAATAATGCAGAGGATAACAGAAATGTATAACGATACCAGCAGGTGACTGCGGTCCGATCCAAACCCTGAGTAGCATTGAACAGACATGTTCTCCCATGTAAGCAGTGTTTGCCACCATATGGCAACTAGAGTTCTGATAACGCATAATTCCCCAGCTGACTCATCCTATACAGGAAATCAAAGCATGAAATGCTAGCCTGCTTCCTATATGATACAGAGGATTAGAGCTGGGATTTAGAGGACATTGACAACCTGCTTCCATAAGCAGAAGACTGAGAGACTGAACAGAGCCAGGCACTATTTACATTGTTGCGTGAGGAAAAGAGACTTTCTGACATACAGTCCAGCTTGCTTTACTGTGCCCTGTCTCTGATGCAGTTGACTGCAGTAATACTACCCTGTCCTATTCACCATCTGTTATTGGGGATTTAGATTCCAGAGGCGTGCGTGAAGCAAATGAACCAAAATAAATGTCATGCATCCACCCATGATGCTCTGCAGCCTCACCGCGGGAAATCTGGATTAATGCAATGACTTATTGGCATTTGAAATGGTTTTTTTTGTGTCTGAACCCTATATATGCATTTGCACAATAGTGAATGTGTAAGAGTTATGTCCAATATTCAATTACATTACTGGTAAACTGCCCCCCCCCCCCCCCCCTGACAGCAACATACTTCCTCTTTTTCTGCTAAATGTGCATGTTACAGATGTGCCATAGAAGTGTTTTACCTATAAGAGGGAGCAAGAAAAGATTAAATGACAGGCTGAAGTCACGTGGGATGTGTCCCTGATGCTTTGTTTGGTATTAGCCATACTATTGCAGGCTGGGCCATTATCACTGATATCTTGAACATGTTCTTAACTGTGCCTTCATGAGAAAAAGTCAACCAAGTTATGCTTAAAAAAACACACATTTTGCCAGCTCTACGACATAATGTCATTCATGTTGTATGTCTGTGTCATGTTAACGGCATGTTTATGTGAGAAGGATTCTATCCTCCTAGTTAAGCACACAACATGTGTGATTACACCTTGTACATGTTATTCTAAAGTACTTCTTTCTTTGATATGCAAATCAGAACTCAGACAGAGGACAAAAGACAAAATACAGTCATTTGAATGGAAAATAATAAACAAGACACGTCAAACACAACAAAACGATTCAACGTTTTAAGAGAACAAAAACAAGTGTTCTGGTTGAAAAGATTCCAACATTGGCTCAGTTTTCGAATGGGAGGAATCTGTTGTTGAAATGCTTATATTTGGGATAGGACTATATAACGGTAAGATGGATGTGGCTTTCAGATGCAACCTAAAATGAAAATCAAAATATACACAAATAGAACAGCTAAGGCCAAAATTCATTCATAATTCAAAATCATATACAATTATTTTTAAATCTTGCACCAAAAGGTAAAAACCAGTGCTCAAAGTAGTGTCCACAGGGATCACGGGATATCTTGTCAGCTCTGATGCGCTTTCTTTGATTTGCTCCCTGGCATCTTGAATAAAAAGGATTTCAAATCTTGCAGGGTACAAGAAGCATGGAAACAGCCTTCTTCCAGAATACAAACAGCAGTGATCTTCCAGTGTTCTCTTGTCATGTTGCCACAGCTGACGGAGAGTGGGCGCACAGAGGCGAGGAGGATGGGATTGGGAAGGGAGAAGCTGAGGAAGCCAGAGAGAAAGAGAGAAGGAAGCTGTATGTGCAAATTGAGTGGGGGGAGGGGTGCTGCGAGTCCACCTATAGTTGTGATTGTTGGCTCTAATTCAACATCGAATCAGGATTTAATGTAAAGACCCCCACAGATTGAAGAAACTGATGGTGGACATATGTCGAAAAGTTCAACATTCACATCAGAGCATTACATTTGGAGGAATGCAGACCTGACCAACACTGACTCCAAAGACTCCGACATGGTGGAGGGTGACCCTGTATGTCTGCAGAGTCAGTCGGAGGTCTCAGAGTTTACACCTGCAGGAACATGACCGCACATTTCTAATCTGCTGGCAGCCCAGCAGCCGACGAGCATTCAGACTTTGCCACTGCATGTTTAGGTTAAATTAGTAGTATTTAAATATGAATGAGCCATGATGATGTGTAAATGAAAAGGCCAATGCCGATCAGCCAATGCAATAGAGACTGCGCTCCACGAGAAATAGCACTATGCTCAATGAATGACAGCCAAAACAATAACAACAACAAAGTTAACGTTGCAGTAACTGGATTCATCATTTATCAGCTGAACAGTTCACTGATCTCACGGTTCATTTATGGTACAGCTCCGTCAGTCTGACAACTGGAGTGTCCTGAGGAAGCCTTCATGTTCACCTCTCTGTGGATCTCTAGCCTCCAGCAGATAAAGAGGTGCAGCCAACAAATGAGTGTGTTCCCTTAGTTCCCTGAGACTCTGCAGCCACACAGAGCTCCTCCATCACCATCAACAGCAGCTTCCTGTCAGCATAGATGGACAGTTCACTTTTTCTCCTCACCTCCTCCCTCACATGCTTGTAGCAGTGCACTCTGTGAAGGACAGGCTGATGTCACCAGAGTCCTGGCTGACCTCACACTGGTGTCCAGTGTCTGTCCTGGGACTCCTCTCACAGAGCGGCAGTGGCACTGAGACAGGCAGTGTTTCACATTCTTTAGTCCAGCATGAATTCCTTCAAGAGGATTCAATGAATGTACAGGATTGTTATGTCTGTCACCTCATGGGTACTGTCTTTAGTCAAGGGGACATAAAACAACAAAGAATCATGTGTTTTAGGGAAAAACAAAGGAACAGTTTTGGCAAAAGGCACTTTGATGTTTTTTGCATAATTATATATTTACTAGGGCCGGGACTTTAACGCGTTAATTAAGATTAATTAATTACACAAAAATTAACGCATTTTAATCGCACTTATTTTTGCACCGCGGAACGTTTCTCACTGGATGAGTTTCAGGGGTACCGATTATACTGGAGCACCAACTAACGTTCATTACTTCAGACAACAACAAACCACAGTGAACAATAGTCAAACGTGAACGAAGAAGCTGATGAGACCGCTTTGGTTGGCCCCGTGAATGGGACATTTTGTTTTAAAGACTGCCAAGGACACACAGGGGATTATGCAAAAAGGGAATCGGCATATCACCGCAGCACATCAAGCCCTCAAGTATCACCTCAATGCAAAACCATATAGCAGGCTAGCGTGGAAAGCTAGCGTGGGACGTATAGCCCGACTCGGAGTACAAGAGAACCCACACCCCAATTCGCGTTGATCAAACAGTGGCCTAATGCAACAGAGAGATTTTATTTTTTCATCAGGGGATATTGGAAGAAATAGGAGGGAATGAGGTTCAATCACTGGCCAACTTTATTATTATTTAAAATGGTACCACTTTTATGTTGAAACTATTTATTTTACGTTGTTGGGTGCAACTGGCCACTTTATGTTGAACTGTTTTATTGTTTTGGCCAAGGTTATTGAAGAGTTGGGACTGAATGTATTAATTTTTTAAATTCCTATCCCCTGTGTGCCTTGAAGCAACAGAGAGATGTTTTCTAATAGTCAGGGTTTCCAATGTTCTGAATGTACTTGAAAGTATTGTGTTTTACTTAAAAAACAAAGTGTTATAGTTTACAGAAGGTCTACCTACCTATAGGCTACCTGAATCTCTGAAATGTACTATATTCCTAAATATGCTATTGCTACACTTTATGGCAAAAATTGCACTTTTCTGTTGGTCTTTGTTAAGTACCTCCTTGAAAAAAATAAACAATGTTTTGTTGCTTAAGCTTATGTATTCAGTCATTATTCAATGGTATACTAAAATCCATGTGAAAAAAATTGCTTCTCACTGTTCTCAGGTCAAATATTTATATGCGATTAAAAATGCGATTAATTGCGATTAATTAATTACAAAGCCTGTAATTAATTAGATTAATTTTTTTAATCGAGTCCCGGCCCTAATATTTACCACTGATAACTCATTTCCAGACGTGCTCAAAACAACTTGTATGCTCATTGTGATTGGAACAATAAAACACCAGCCATCACAGCAACCCCCCCACGAAAAGAACAGAACATCAGACCATGCTGTTCAATCTGCACTAAGCAGGGTGAATGCTGAAGGCTGGTGGCCCAGATGGCATATCATGGTGTGCTCAAGGCATGTGCTGTCCCTGAGGTAGAACCTTCAAATTCCTCGGCATCAAAATCTCTGATGATCTCTCCTGGTCTTTCAACACCTCCAGCCTTGTTAAATGGCACAACAACACCTGATCAAGAAAGCCCCCCTGCCTGCTCATTTTCAGAAGAACTTTTGGCTGCACCATCGAGAGCATTATCACAAGCTGAGTCTTGGTGCGGTGTGGCAGCTGCTCTGTAGCTGACAGGAGGACCTGCAGCTGGGGGTAAGAACGGCTCAACACATCATCGGTGTCCCACTACCTGCCATCGCTAACCTCCAGCCCCAACTGTCTCTGTGACGTGCCCCCAGCCTCATCAAAGACCCCTTACATCCAGCCTTAGCTCCAGCAGGCTCAGGAACAGTCCTTGAACTAGGATGGGTTAAAAGCAGAGACCAAATGTAACTCTGAGTGCTGTGTGCATGTATGTGTGTCAAATAAAGAGACTTTAATCCTCCGATTCCCGCAATATCATAACCCTCCTGAATTTTCAAACTCAGAGCCAGCCCAGCTCCCCCCTCCCCTTTGAATGTCATGGGGCTCCACCCGACAGCGCTTCACACTCAGGGACCTTTAACTCCTTGTTTACGATGTCTGTATTTCATATTTATTACATCTGTATTTAATATTCATAACGACTGTATTTAACCTATATATTCCTAAACCCCACACCGTATATATGTATATGCTCTAAATCTGCACCTTATCTGAAGATATGTATTCATATTTATACATGTAAGTACATTACTACAACATTGTATGCTATGTGAGTACAGTATCTTATGCTAATCTAAGGCCTACGCCCAAACATGCACTCTTCACTTCCTGCTCCACTTGTGTCCCTCCTCTTCCTTCCTCCATCTTCGTTACTTCATTTCCCTACAAGCAGTCCCTCACTGCTGCACTGAATCCATCTCACTCAGTTCTTATGTCGTATTCCTCCAGTCAGGGCTCATGGGAGACACTGAAGTCAAATAACAGTATGATTTATTCTGTTGTTACCATATTGTAGGGGAATTTGTGTATCTAATGTAAGACCTACAGTCCTCATGCACTTCATCCAATTGGAATGTGGCGGGTGCCTTGGACAAAATCCAGGACATTTCAGTCAGACGTTGGGATCAACGTGATCAGTGTGAACATGTCTTATTATTGGGTAAGTAAGAAGGCGTTGGCTAATGATAAAGTGTAGATACTATCAATGTTGGAAGTGCTCAGATCCTTTACTTAAGTAAAAGTACCAATACTATGGTCTTAAAATACTCCACTACATGTAAAAGCCGTAGTTTTGAAATGCTACTTAAGTGAAAGTACAAAACTAATAGCGTCAAAATATACTTAAAGTACTCATTCTGTATCCTGACCCGTTTCAGAATAATATGAAGAACAGAAGTATGATCCGCTAAATGTACTTCAAGAATCAGCAGTGACAGTACTTGTTGCAGAATGGATCTTTTCACTGTATGTTATGGTTCATTTTGGTTATAATATTTGTTTTTATACATGTAAGAACATTTAGTTGTAGGTCAGTAATTATTGTTTTTGCTCAATGTGGACCAAAATTCAGATACTGTGTAGATTAGTAGTGCAGTACTGCACTGTACTATATCAGCATATACTGTATGTGTAATTATGTACAAAGTAACTAGTAACTGAGAGTTTTACAAATACATGTAGTGGAGTAATAAGTACGATATGCAACTCTGAAATGTATGGAATAGAAGTATAAAGTAGCATTAAATGGAAATACTTAACTAAAGTAAAAATATGTCAACAAAGTACTTAAGTGCAGTACTTGAGTACATGTACTTAGTTACTTTACATCACTGATGTTAGTACGGCTCTGAGCAATATAGTTCCCTTGGTTACACCTTCCATGTTCCCTCTCAACATCTGCAGTTGAGGGTTTGATTCCCTCTCTCACCCGGTGACAGTCTCCCCCCGACAGCACCTCCTGGATGAAGACCGCGGGGCCGTCAGGTTTGTTGGAGCCTCCCCCGATGGTGATGCCCAAACTGCTGGATCGCGCCACTGAGATGAGCTGGATCACTCCTTCACCTGGATGACTGGGTGACACATGGACAGAGGGATTCATGACTTAAAGGTGGGGTATGTCATTTATTTCAGAAACACTTTTTGTTATATTCCATGGAATGCTCTTAACATCCCGATAGCAATGAATATCTTAAGTGCTTTGACAACAAATCCATTAAAAAATGTCATCTGTGGAAGCCGTAGTACTGCACGACCAATCATCTGAGCCGGCCCGGCTAAAATAACTGGATGGCCTACCTGCCTGTCAGCCTTCCATCTGTGCACAAACTTATCTCGTGCCCTCATTGGTCATGTGCGCGTTCGTGTATGTTGGAGGAGGGGCTCTGTAAGGAAGTGGCAGATTTTTTCCGGTTGTGTATTTTCAAATGCTAGCGATCTCGAGCTGGTTTCTCCAAAATGACCTACAGTACCTCACCTTTAAGTCAAAATAGCAATACTACAGTGTAGTAAAAAGTAAAACAAGTAAAAAAGTGCTAGCAATAAATAGTACCAACAATAAAATAACTTGTTTCACAAAATGGCCATTTTAAGCATCCAGATATTTTAAAAATAATTGTATAAAAATGATTGGTGCATTAATGTGTTCATCCCATACTAATAAAATATCATTTGTGTTGATTTATATGTTGTACTAATCTCTTAAATCTGCAAAGTAACTACAAACTAAATATGTAGAAGAAGTATAAAGTAAAAATAATAATGTAAAAACACTCAAGTAAAGAACAAGTACCTACATGTTTTACTTAAGTAGAGAACTAGAATAAATGTTCTGAGTTACATTACCCCACTGAACAGGTGTGTGTGGAGGCTGTACAGGTGTGTGTGGGTGATGTACAGGTGTGTGTGGAGGCCGTACAGGTGTGTGTGGGTGCTGTACAGGTGTGTGTGGAGGCTGTACAGGTGTGTGTGGGTGCTGTACAGGTGTGTGTGGGTGCTGTACAGGTGTGTGTGGAGGCCGTACAGGTGTGTGTGGGTGCTGTGCAGGTGTGTGTGGATACTGTACCGGTGTGTGTGGGTGCTGTGCAGGTGTGTGTGGGTGCTGTGCAGGTGTGTGTGGGTGCTGTACAGGTGTGTGTGGAGGCTGTACAGGTGTGTGTGGGTGCTGTACAGGTGTGTGTGGAGGCTGTACAGGTGTGTGTGGGTGCTGTACAGGTGTGTGTGGGTGCTGTACAGGTGTGTGTGGAGGCCGTACAGGTGTGTGTGGGTGCTGTGCAGGTGTGTGTGGATACTGTACCGGTGTGTGTGGGTGCTGTGCAGGTGTGTGTGGGTGCTGTACAGGTGTGTGTGGGTGCTGTACAGGTGTGTGTGGAGGCTGTACAGGTGTGTGTGGGTGCTGTGCAGGTGTGTGTGGATACTGTACCGGTGTGTGTGGGTGCTGTGCAGGTGTGTGTGGGTGCTGTGCCAGGTGTGTGTGGAGGCTGTACAGGTGTGTGTGGGTGCTGTACAGGTGTGTGTGGGTGCTGTATGGAGGCCGTACAGGTGTGTGTGGGTGCTGTGCAGGTGTGTGTGGATACTGTACCGGTGTGTGTGGGTGCTGTGCAGGTGTGTGTGGGTGCTGTACAGGTGTGTGTGGGTGCTGTACAGGTGTGTGTGGAGGCTGTACAGGTGTGTGTGGGTGCTGT